CCCCCCGCCAAAAAAAAAGAATTCTTGAACATTTGGGATGTTTAACACTACAGAATAATACTGTAAGGCCGAATAAATATCTAGTACTGCTTTCTTTTCTTTTACCAAAAATAAAAATTTACAAAAGCAAATTTTATCACTGTAGACTTAGTTTTCTTTGTGTGTGTGTGTGTGTGTGTGTGTGTGTGTGTGTGTGTGTGTGTGTGTACACACACACACATCAGTTCTGGGGCTTGAACTCAGGACCTCTCACTTTTGATTGGGCTTTTTCACTCAAGGCTAGCATTACACCATTTGAGCCACATTTATGTGGCTTTTTTTTGCTGGTTAATTGGAGGTAAGAGTCTCACAGATTTTTCTACCTGGGCTGGCTTTGAACCACAATCTTCAGATCCCAGCCTCCTGAGCCGTTAGGGTTGCAGGCACGAGACAACAATGCCCAGCACAGACTTAGTTTTTTGTTTTTTTTTTTTTTTTTTTTACCCAACTCAGCACTTTATGAAACTGGATTTAGGGTTCTAAAAGTATACTTTAGTTTTGATAACCTTCTGCTTTGGGTGTAAGGAGTCAGAACTGTCCAGACCCAGAGAGGAGTTCTGGGAAAGATGTCAGCAGTGGGCAAGTTCTGGGGGCTGTACTAAGTTTCAGGCACCAGTCACAGAGGGATATGGTTTTGTGTTGGAGAAGGAGGACTCAGTAATAAGATTCCTGGAGTGACTGCCTGCTGCCATTAACTCTATTTGGCTTCACCAGCTTAAAGGGATTTTGACCTTTCAAGTGCTAAAATGATAATGTCACTTTGTATCTGGGTTGTAGACCATCAGTGGCACTGGACTTCAGGACATGAATAACCAATATTCAATTGAGGGCCATATAAAACTTAAAAAATGTATTTCTGCACTTGAATTTCCCAGAATGCCTTAGGGTTACTTATCATGATGCACTTGCTGTATAATTTTTAATCAACTCCATGTGCATAGTGTTTCTGGGGTGGGGAGGATGACTCTTGTAGTTTTGGAAAACAATTTTTGTTCTAACCCCTTTCCAAGTTTTGAAACTTCTAAATTAATGGCAGTTTTAGAAGCAAGTAAATGTTATCCTTACATAATTAACCCATTGAGGGAATTAATTAATTAGTTAATTAATTATTTATGCTGGTACTGGGGTTTAAACTCAGGGTCTCACATTCTGGCTTGACTTTGTCACTCCAGGCTGGTGCTCTACCACTTAAATCACACTTCCACCTCCTTTAGGAATTATTGAAAAGTTACAAACACTGCTCAGAACTATTTTGTTAGATAATGAATGTAGGTTGATTTCAAACAGGCAAATATAGCTACCAGTGGCCTACTTTTTAAGTGCATTTTTTTTTTGTGCAGAGAATTTAGAAGTGGGTATCATAAATGGCTGAGCTGCCTGGGCTGAACTAGAGTTTAACTCTTTGTTGTATCTCCAACAAGAGTTTTCCTTCTTCTGTGTCTTCATTTCCAGATGGTCTCCCAGCTTGAAGCCCAAATAGCCGAGCTTACTGAACAGTTGGGAAAGGAGTCTGAGTTTCACCGGGAAGCACTGCAGAGGGCCCACGCGGCAGAAAACAAGTCGGAGACTCTTCAGAGTCAGCTGACACACCTCGAGGGAGAGCTGGTTTCAGGAGATGTTTTGCGAGACAACTTGAATGCCGAGAAAGAAAAAGTAAGATCCTTCCAGCCACGCATCCCCAGAGTGGAAGCATCTGTTGCTGTCTACGATTTTACCTGAGAATAGTTTGAATTTTGTAGTATTTGGACCGTTTGTGTCCTGGGTCATGAGTGAATTCCAAGGAGCTATGAGTCTCTTCCTATTGTTTGGAGTGTCCTTGATTCAAAGGAGTTCAATTAAATCCAATAGAATGACCATTATATAATGAGGTCCTGAAAGTTTGGGGAGCAAAATATAAATACTACATAGTTCCTAATGTTGAAAGACTCGTAATTCAGTACAGGGACAGATGTGTAGATGATGTGCTGACTCATCGATTGTGTGTAGTACCACAGCTACACTGCAGTCCTTACTGTAGTATTGCAGGAATTTCTGGTTAAGGAGAAGATTTTACAGGAGACAACTAAGTTTATCTTTTTTTTTTTTTTGGTCAGTCATGGGGCTTGAACTCTGGGTCTAGGTGCTATCCCTGAGCTCTTCAGCTACAGGCTAGCGCTCTACCACTTGAGCCACAGTACCACTTCTGATTTTCTGGTGGAGTGCATGCTTAGCACGTGCAAGGCCCTGGGTCCCATCCCAGCAACCTCCCAAAAAGCTAGAAAAGATCCTATTGCTTAGAGAGATTGTAGCCATCTCAGTTGGTGAAAGTAAGTTCTACAACGGTTCATGTACATGCTGTAGTTCTTCAGACATGTCTCCATCACTAAGCAATGCACGGCTGTATTTTAGAAGGATAATGTGATGGCACTTTGGAGCCAAGACTGCAGTATGTCAGTTGCCTAGAGAGGAGAGTAGGATGAGAGGAGAGAAGGGGTCCCCCATGAAGATTTGAGTATGGGGAGATCACCCGTGATATGTGACACAGATTTTGTGTCATGCCAGCACTGGGGCTTGAATTCAGGCCCTCACACTCTTGCTTGTTCTTTTCACTCTTTGGTTGACTCTCTACAACAACTTGAGTCACATGTCCACTTCTGGCTTTTTGTCGATTGATTGGAGATAGGAATCTTGTAGATTTGTCTTCCCTGGCTGTCTCCAAAAGCTGGTCCTCAGATTTAATTATAGGCATGAGCTCTCAGCACCTGGCAAGTTATAGATTTTTTTTCCCCCATGGCCTTCCTTTCTACATCAGGCCAGTTCTCCTTGTCCTCACCTCTCTCCCTGGAAATCCTTCCTGGCCATCTCTCTAGCAAAAAGGGGATGAGTGGGACCTTAGCAGGGTGGGTGGTAATTACTGATCCCGAAGCAGCCACATTCAAATTTGAAACAACACTCCATATGCCTTATTGCACATCAGGTTATATGCAGCTGTTCTCTGAGAAAACGTTCCCCCCTTCAGCTGGGAAAACCATTTCTTCAAGACATAGGTGGATATTTGCTGCCCCTGGAAGAGACCTTGCTCTGGGTCCTTGCGCCTGCCTCACTCTACCTAGCCTGAGCTTCCTGAAGAGTGGGAAGACCTTTGTGCTGCTTCTCCAGGGCCTACCATGACAGTCAAATAAATATTGTCTGAATTATAGAAGACTTATGTCAAAGGCAAGCAGTTCAGGTAGATTAGGCTCTCCTCCTTCCTCTCCATAAAAATGAGTCATTAACTTAAATTGAGATTATGCCAAAATAACTCCCAGTTATGAAAGCAAATTGTCTAAGTGAATTCTGTCCATGGTGAAGTTTGTGCAGATCACTGCAAATAAAATGCATGTTCTGGTAAGGCTGATAGTGTGCAAGATTGGAAAGGACAGCTGTGCAGAGATGACAGGCACAGGTAGCCTAGGCTAGCACCACATAATGTACTAGAATGCACCCTTCCTTACTTGTGCCAAACTGTGACTCAAATGAATAGAATGACCAGTGTTCCTTTGCTTCTAGGATGCAATGCTAACTAGTATCTTCTAAGGAGCAGTTAAGATCCTAAAAAGAGGCCATTCCTCTGTGGGTCTTATATTGGTCTCATGTGAATCCCTTCTAGTCTTCTATTGATGTTTCATTTGAAGTGAATGAGTCCCCTGGAGACACAGAAAACTAGAGATTTCCTACCTTTTAGGGAAAGGGATCAACTCTTATGTAAATACAAACAATGATGGTTAGGTTATTTTCCAAGAGAAATGAAGACTTTAGAAGGGAGACCTGCCACAGTGCAATCAAGTGGTGGCCTGGTGACCCAGGGACTAAAGCAGCCTATGGTGACATAGTATAATATGGTGACACAGTATAATATTCTTGGGCTATGGATGTGGCTCAGAAGCGATAGGGCATGTGCCTAGTAATATCCTACCATATTTCTAGAAACTTGTTAAAAGGAGATTAAATTGCATCTGTATGTATGCCATTTAACAAAATTGGTAAACATACACTTAAGGAGAATTTCTTCCTGATGACTAAAATACAGATAGTTCTAAGCTTTAAAGTGACACGCCTGGGCAGCAGGAAATTATATTTCTTTGAAATTTAATTTCCTGAAAATGCCAGATGGAGGAGAAGTTATTCCAATCAGGAGGAAATTTCAAAGATAGAAACCCAAAACATGAGATGAGTATATAGTAAACTCATTGACTGATTTACTCATCCAGCAAGCACTTAATAAACATTGTTCTCTGAGTTTGGCCAGATAAGCCACATTAGTGAAGTGCAGGAAGATGCTTAGATCATTAGATAGTTAGATATGAACCTTGAGGCCAGGTATGATGGCTCACACCTATAATTTTAGTTGCTCCAGAGGTAGAGATCAGGAGGATTGTTCTAGGCCAACTTGGGGAAAAGGCTAGTGAGATTTCCATCTCAACTGATAAGAGCTGGGAGTGGTGGTATTCACTAAGACTTGGGCAGCGTAGATAGGAGGATAGTAATCTGGACTTAGATTTGAGACCCTATTTAAAACAAAATAACTAAAGCAAAAATGGCTGGAGGTATAGCCCAAGTGGCAGAGTGGCTGCCTCATAAACTTAAGGACTTAAGGCCTTGGATTCAAAACCCAGTCATGCATGTGCGAGTACACACACATACACATTCTCTCTCTCTCTCTTTCACTTCTTTCACATAGCTTTGTTTTTTTGGATGATATTGTTCATTTAACTTTGATGCACTGAAAACAAAAAAAATCCCCATTTTCTTTTCTTTTTTTTTTTTTTTTTGGGTATGGGGGTGGGGCCTGAACTCTGTGCCTGGGCACTGTCCCTCAGCTCTTCAGCTCAAGGCTAGCGCTCTACCACTTGAGCCACAGCGCCACTTCCGGCTTTTTTCTTTTTGCTTATGTGGTGCTGAGGAATCGAACCCAGGGCCTCATGCTTGCAAGGCAAGCGCTCTACCACTGAGCCACCTTCCCAGCCCAATATCCCCATTTTCTAAGGCATCTTAAAAACAAAAAAACATTCACAAGGTTCTTCCGATCCTGTGTGTATGGAGGGTATTGATTCTGGAGTGATCTGTAGGGCACAGGAGGACTTAAGTGGCAACTGGATAGGCTGTCAGCTTCCAGCTTCAAGGTCAGGGTCCTGTTTGGTGTGGAGAACCCCCTGGGGGGCCAGGGCTGGGCGGATCCCAGGGGCTGAGCCGGCCCGGGATGGGCACAGTTGCCTCAGCTTGCCACGGAAGCAGCAAGATGAGGGACATAGCCAAATTTGGCATATGGTGAGATGCTGAAGGATGCATGATGTTAAATCAGACATTGGCATACTGACCAGGATAAGGAGAGACAAGAGTTGGTAGGGTGGTTCAGGCATTCATCACCAAAGACTCCAACTAGAGTCCAGCTAGTTTAAAGAGAACCACTGGTCATCTTGGGAGAAAGGGAAGGGTGCTGTGAGCTCCCACAGTAACGTCACTCTTGTGTCCCTTTTTCATTTTTGTTCCTCGGTTTAGTGTCTTAAATTTCTGGATCAGCTTTCAGAGAAAATGAACTTGAGCCAGGTGGCCGCTGAGCTTGGCTTCGACATGCAGCTGGGTGTGATCTTAGCTCGCACAGAGCAGCTGGCCCGCCTTGAGAGCCTCGCCATCACCGAAAACAAGACTATCGCCCACAATTTACAGAGAAAGGTAGGGATGTTGGAATGTAATGGTGTTGGAAAATGACTTATCCTCACCATAGTCACCAAAATGGCTGAGATCTTATATCTACGCATGTATTTAGAATTGGAGTTTTGATTTTGGGTATGAAGAGTTGCTATGTGTGTCTTCTTTAGGACTATCCCTAGTGTGGGCCTTATGCTCATAGGTCAAATCATAGAACAGACTGGTGCCCAGAATCCTTACATCTGTGTTCATGCAGAAGGATGGACAAGAAGGGGTTGAGGAAGATGGATGCACAATCACACGCAAAACCCAGGCATTGGTGGCTCATACGTGCAATCCTAGCTTTTCTGGAGATGGAGATCTGAGGATTTGAGGTTCAAAACCAGCCATCCTGGGCAGGAAAGTCTGTGAGACTCTTCTCTCTAGTTAACTACCAAAAGTTCAAAAGTGGAGCTGTGGTTCAACTGGTAGAGTGCCCTCCTTGAGCATAAAAGCTCAGGGACAGTGCCTAGGCCCTGAGTTCAAGCCTCACCACCAACGCCAAAATCAAAAAAGTTCATGCAAAAGCTATTTTTTAAGAAGGTGCTCAGCAATTGCTTTGTGACCTTGGTCGGAATGTGGTCTTTGTGATGGCCAAAGCTAGCTGCAAGGGAGGCTTGCAAGGTAGCTGCCACTACTTTGGTAGAAGAGGAATAAGGCGGGGAATAAGGGGGGAGGGCTGCACCTATTAGCTCTATTACAAAGAAAGTAGAAAGAGAAAGACTCACTTTTCATTCACCAGAAGGCAGAGTATGAAACAGCTTAGATCAAATGAATGAATAAATGGATAAAAGGGATAAAGTATAATTATCAGTTATAATTAATGGTATTTGAGAAAGAAAAGGGGAAAGCACAGATGTGTTCTTATAATAGTTCTTAGGAGAAAATTCTGTGGCTGAATTCTTGTGTAGAGGCTGTGTAATGAGTCACATCTGGGCTCCAAATTTGCCTTTACCAAGCTGTGTGACCTTGGACAAATTATATACCTCTCTGTCCCTTCACATTAAAATAGAAGCAACACATATCCCAAAGGATGGTTAATTTTTAGTAAAAAATGTTTTTGAACTGCATTTATCTGGAAATGTATCTGGAGCTATATTTTTAGTCGGCATATATGAGTCCTATGAGGGGGAGGATTTTATTGTTACATCTCTACACATGTGTAATGCAATATTCTAATCAATTTCACCCCTCCACCATACTGCCTGTACTCTTCCCTCTAAGAGAGAGTGTCCCAAACAGGTTTCCTTGTTTTGTTTTCATAGCTGAAATAGTCCATTTTGACACTCTTCAGTTTTCTTTGTCCTCCTACCAGCAAACCCATCCTGGAGAAGTAATACCAGGGATATTAAATTGAGCTATGATGATTTCCAGATTTCTCCTCTGATAACTGATTTCCTTCATACTTAATACCCTTCCTTCTTTAGCATTGCATACATATTAAAACCACTCATGTATAGAACTTACTGGGGTAAATTTGTAGTGGAGTGGAACTTGACTTGGAGTAGCTCAAGAGTGCTGGGCATCTGCCTCTTAGCCTAGCTGCATCGGAGGTGGGGGTAGGAGAAGCTAGCCTGGGCAAAAGTGTGAGACCCTATCTGAAAAACAAGCTAAAGCAGAAAAGGAATGGGGTCATAGCTCAAGTGTTGGAGCACTTGCCTAGAAAGCATGAGGCTGGGTTCCAACTCAAGTACCCCTCCTCCAAATAAGAGCTTGAGAAAGATGGTGGTAGAGGAATATTAGAAAGGCTCGCAGAAGGGTGATGCTGGCGTGGACATAGGTGTCACCGCGAGACAAGAAGCTCAAGGTAGCATTTTGTGAGGTCTCCTCGCCTTCTCACACTCCACACCTCACAAACACAGAGTCAAAAACAAGGGAGAAAGTGAGGTTCAGCAGGAACTCCACTCCTCTTCCCCCATTTGTAACAGATGACAAAGGTTTCTGGATTAAATACCTATATTACATCTTCACATCGCTGAGATCACTGGCATGTGTCACTGTACTGGCCTTCCTCTTTGGCAGTGTTTGAGAGGCTTCATTTTGTAACAGAGTAAGGCTTCTGTAGTCTGTAAGGAGGGGCAGTGTGTGGCCCTGGCCTGGAGCTGAGCAGGCACATATGTCATAGCAGGGGCCATGAAGGTCCCGGCCATTGTACTTTCGTGATATATTGCATGATAATTTAAAATAAAGGACCAACTACGCTCTTCCCATCACCCCAAACTGTTCAGGGCCTGTGATATTTACAACCATTTCCCTTAGGCTTCATATAAATACACATAGGGTTCCATCTTAAGAGACTTTTTCTGTTTCATGAGTGAGTGACCGGCATTGCTCAGGAGGATCTTTCCTCTCTTAGTCGTTTTCTCAAAATCATTCATTTCTTGCATCAGTTTGATCGATCATGTAAGTGAACTTGAGGCCTCGTTCCCTGCTTGGCTGGTGTCTCTTAGCGGTCAAGTCTATAACAAAATCCCCTAAGAAAGACAGCCATCTCAAGTCTATTTCTTAGATCTTGATCTTAAATATACAAACAAGGCTTCCTTCACAGTCCCCTTAGTTCATCCTCCTGTAAAAATGTATCATCTTTCATACTGGGTAGCACTCAGCCTTTTTCTGAGTGTTCAGATTAGCTATCTAGGTTGGCAGTACTTGTTTGTACTCTACCTTGTTTCAGAAAATATTAGTGCAGGTATTGTGGCCATTGAGTGACAGAGAGGACTTTGTCTCTGTCTTATTGAATTCTGCTCTTGATGAGGCTATTTTATTAGCCTTAAAAGAGATCTCTCATTTGTATTATGCAGCACGAAATGTTGGCGAGAAGCAGCGGTGGAGAGCTGACTTCTTTGCACATTTTCTGGGCTTCTTTTGTCCCATACTTTGCAGCTCCAAAATTAATTCTTGGAAGAAATGTGAATTTATATAAAAAAATGCAATCAGCGCTATGAACCCACTGACCTTTTTTTTTTTGAGGCTTTACAAATTAGCCTTATTGAAGTGTAGATAGAAATCGACATTATCTGGGTTAACTCATTTATATTTACTGACTGTTCAATTATTATTATTATTAAAAAAACCCTCTGTATCAAACCAGCTCAAGACTCAGAAAGAAAGATTGGAAAGCAAAGAATTGCATTTGAGCCTCCTCCGGCGGAAAATAGCCCAGCTGGAGGAGGAGAGGCACGTGCAAAAGGCCTTGACTGTGGAGAGAGACGAGGCCCATCTTACCATCAGGAAGCTGGAGAAGAAGGTGGAGAGGATGCAGAAGGAGCTGAGCATGTGTCGGGAGTCTAACACGGAGCTTAAGGCCAAACTAGCTGACACCAATGAACTTAAGGCAAGTGTGTGGCTCTGAGTTCTTGTTTTGTTTTGTTTTCCTTTTGGCACTTAGTTTTTTAGCTTTTTCACTCAAGGCTAGTGAGCTGTGCTCCACTTCTGGCTTTTTGGTGGTTAAGTGGACAGGAGTCTCATGGACTTGGCTCCCAGGGCTGGCTTCAAACCCAGATCTTCAAGTCTCGGCCTCCTAAGTAGCTAGGATTATAGCTGTGCCCAGCTGCTTGTTTTTATTTTTCCAGCTGACATTAAAGTTTATGTACAAGAGGGACAATCTGAGGGTGGGAATGCCAGAGAAGCAAATAATGAAAGCTCCTGCCAACTTTCCAGAGTTTGGGGGGAAAAAGGCAAAAATTGTATACAGCAGAATATATATATATATATATATATATATATATACATACATATATATTTGATCAATTTAGTACATCTTCAGTATTTGAAAAGGGGCAGTGTTAAAGACAGAAAACAAAAATGTTTCTTCAAGGTATAGATGACTGTGTCATAAGTCTGGCGGGAGGCTTTCTCAGGTAATAATTTCTTAGGGAGAAATGAGAAGAATAACTCACCATTTACTGAGGTTAATGACAGCATACCATGCAAAGGGTTAATAGAGGAGGGAGATGTGGTTCCTTGATTCAGTGTTTGACTTGTGACAAGAAAGAAGTGAACACGTACAGGAATTTAATGAAAATTATTTCACTGTTATGCATGGGCACCGCTGTACACCCTGTCCCCAGTCACTAGGCAACCCCGAAGCACAGTGGACGGGAGCCTCCTGGCTTTCGGCAGGGAGCCAGAAGCCGACTTTTGCAAGACTTCCAAATCTGGACACAGCCCATCAGGGACAAAGCACCTGGAATGGAGCTGGCCTTGAACATATGGAACCTTCTAGTGACACACGCCTGTAATCTCAGCTTCTTAGGAGGTGGAATGGGAGGACTGTGTTCCAAGGTCAGCCTAGGAAAAAAGTAAGAGACCCTATCTGAAAAAAACCAAACTGAAGCAAAAGGGCTGGTGGCATGGTTCAGAGGGTAGAACCCCTACCCAGCAAGGGAGAATTCCTGAGCTCAATCCCCAGAAGGAAAAGTTACGAGACATGGACACCTGTGGAAAGACAGGCCAAGGAACTCAGAAAGGAAAAGGAGCTTCTCTATGGTAGACAAGATATGGATGAATATTTTGATTGGCATCTCAGGGACCAAGAGGGATTCTGAACAGGAGGGTCACATTGACAGGAAAGAGAGAAATCCTGGAGAGACAGGGGGAGGGCACAGTTCTCCATCAGGAGGCAGCGACCCCAGTGTCCCAAGTCCTGCGGAGGAGGCAGGCTGTAGGAATGTCCGTGGCCCTGGGCTCTGGAAAGCTTCAGCGGAGACTGGATTTGATGCAGGACTCACTCCCTAGATTGCAGAAGATGATCAAGTATGCTTTCTGATGGAAGAGAAGAGATCTCTAACTGTGGACACATTAACTGGCAAGTTCATGCCAATGGTGGCGAACAAGATGCCACCTATTTTTGTTCAGTGCCTGGGCTGGTCCCTGTATTCAATTAATTATTCATCAAACAAACTTTTTTTTAGACACCACCAAAAAAATAAATGACCTTATTGAGCTCCTTTGTAGGGCTGCCCAAGTACAATAAACTGGTTAGCTTACTCCAACAGGAATTCATTGGCTTGTATGTTGGAGGCTGGAAACCTGAGACATGAAGTGTGCCTGGCTGTTGCTACCAGAGGCTTTGAGCATCTGTTCTGTGCCTCCTCTGTGATTCTGACTTCTGCTGGCTGTCCTTGGCCGACAACAGCATCTTTTGATTTCTGTCTCCACGTGACCTTTTCTCTTGTCTCTCTTTTCCTGTTGTTGATAACAACATCAATCATAGTGCTCAGAGGGCTCTTAAACCCAATGATCTTAACGTGAGATCCTTCCCTTAATTCAATCCTTACAGGCTTTCATTCTAAATAAGCAACATTCTCAAGTTTTAAGTGGACAACATTTTGGGGTGGGGGAACTCTTCAATCCACAACTCACTAAATGGACAATTTCATCATTTATGGAGGGACAATAGAAGGTAATAATTTGATCCATTTCTGTTGTCTTAAAACTTGAAAAATAATCTGCCTACTATAATATTGACCCTCTCCCCTTTTATTTTGTCAGTCATGGGGCTTGAACTCAGGGCCTGGGTGCTGTCTTTTAGTTTTTTTGCACAGGTAGCACTCTACCACTTAGAGTCACAGCTTTACTTCCAGTTTTCTGGTGGTTAATTGGACATAAGAAGCTCATGGACTGAAGTACAAGTTGTCATGTCCAAAACAAGCTTTACAACATCGGTGCAGGGGTGGGGGAAGGGGGGGAAGGAGAAGGATTGGGTTGGGGAGGAGGGGGGAGGCTGGGAAGGGATGTGAAGGGTAAACCAAAGGAGGAGGCTGCAATGCTTGGTAAGAAATGTACGCATTATCCTGCCCATGTAATAGTAACCCCTCTGTACAGTATGTTCACAAATAAAATTAAATTAAATTTAAAAAAAGAATCTCATGGACTTTCCTACCTGGGCTGTCTTCAAACTGTCATCCTCAGATCTCAGCCTCTTGAGTAGCTAGGATTACAGGTGTGTCTATTGTTCCGAGGTTTTTGGTGTGTTGATAAAGCTGTGCAGCCATCACCAATGTCTAATTCTAGATGATTTCAGCACCCTCCATCCTTCCCCCAAGCCCTCTCGTGAGCAGGCAGCCACGTCTACTTTCTTGCAGTTCAGCACTGTTTATTTTGGACCATTCGTATAAATGGAACCATGTGATGAAGGGTTTTTTCTCTCTGGCTTCTGCCACTTAGCATATGTGACACTGAATTTTGAACAAAGTCTTGCTCCATTGTCCAGGCTGGCTTTAAACTTGCAATTTTCCTGGCTCAGTCTCCAAAGAGACTAGGATTTCAGGTGTGTGCCACCATACCTGTCTTTAATCATAATACATTTTTTATATGATGCAATCCAAACCAACAAGAGATTTTACCATGATGAAATCCAAACTAACAAATGATACAAATAGAATCAAAAGTAGACATATTAGGCACAAGATGACAGATAATACTATCACTTTTTTTTTGTTGTATGTACTATTACTGCTTGAAATCAGGGCCCTGACTTTGGCCAGCTTGCTTGGTCTGTTGGTGGTCTACCCCTTGGACCATGCCTCCAGTCCAGCCTTTTGCTTTTTATTTTACTGCTTCTTTGAGATAGAATCTCATGGAACTTTCTGCCTGGGCTGATTCTTCAAACTATGATCCTCTATCTCTCAGCTTGTTGAGTAGCTAAGATGACATGATACTACTTTAGCGAGATCATTCTTAACAAAACTGTGTGGTACTGACTGCTAAGGCTGTGGGTTATTTGGAGTTTGCTTACCTACAGCTTGTTTCCCCTAGGGATGGAGCCATTATGCTAGCATGTGCATTGTTTTCCCACTGCAGACATTCTGTTTGTACCACTCATGTACTTTGTATAACCATATTATTTATATCTTAATTCTACCGTTACTCTTTTGTCATTAACCTAAGAATATTATATTACCCATAGTATGGGTTGGCACACACATAACCTTGTAGACTATTGCAGACACTGAAATCACGTGGCAAAATTTTGGAGGATGTGGCAAACTGTTAGTGTAAGTCATAAAAGGCCAGATGTGGATGGCCGGATGGTGTTGTGATGTTTCAGCTGCATGTGTTAAAGCACGTGGGAATAGACTCTGTCCCTTTCTTACTGGAAAGAAGCATGGAAGTAGGCCCTCCACGCGTAGCTGGACAGCTCTGTGGCCATCAGCAACCCGGCTGTTCCCTCCTTCTGCTGTAGTGTCTTAGTGCTACCTCAGCCCACAGGAGCTGCTGGAGTTCCAGCCCCATTCCATTTACCAGGTAGAGGGACTGATTGTGTGCCGCTTTCCAGGAATGATATAATACCTAGTGTATCACCATTGGCCAGAACTTAAAGTCTTCATTTCAATGAAGCCAGCCTCAGGAATGGGTCTTTATTCTGAGAAGTAGGACAGGAAAGAAGGCTAGCTAGCCATCTATACCCCAGGGGCCAAGCCTAGTAGGGAGAGGAGGCCAGAACGAAACAGCAAGACCACCAAAACCCAAGGCCATTATTCTCCTCATTACTGTCTTCATCAGGGAGCCGTGTTCCCAGCCATTAGCCAGGTGCTCTTCCTCCTGCCTCTCATGACATCTCCAGCCTATGTCAGCTGTGCCCAACTCCTCCTCCACTCCAGGCCTTTCCCCTCTTCAGCCTCAGCCTCCCTTCTCAGATTCTGCTCTGACCACCCAGGCCTCTCGTCCTCACTGGTACATAAGCCAGGCCCATGGGGACTTCTGGAGGCAAAGAAGGGAACCTCTCTTCCCTGCCACTCCTCCCCTGCTCTCCCCTCCACTTCCCTGCTCTCCCCTCCCCTCCCTTGCCTTCTCCTTCCCTCTCCTGCCTTCCCCTCCCCTCCCCTTCCCTCTCCTGCTCTCCCCTCCCCTCCCTTTTCCTCCCCTCCCTTTCCTTCCCTCCCATCCCCTGTCCTTCCCTCTCCTGCTCTCCCCTCCCCTCTCCTTCCCTCCCCTGCCTTGACCTTTCCTGGCCTCCTTTCCCCTCCCCTTCCTTTCCTGTTCTTTTTCTTCCTTTCTTCCCTCCTTTTGGATAGTACTGGGATTTGAACTCAGGGTCTCAAGCTTGCTAGGCATGTGCTCAGGTACTCTACCACTTGACCATGCCTTGAGTTCCAGTGATATGTTTAACTTATGTGCAGAGAAGGCACAGTTACACAAGGCAGGTTAAAGTACATTTCTGTTTGGACAATGTCACCCCTTCCCTCCCTCACTCCCCGATGACATTTTAGATGAAGCACTTCAACTTGTCCAGCTGGAAAATGTAGATATTCAGAGGATGTATGTAGGGCTCTATCATCTATGAATATACACGAACACATACATGAATATACATGTCACATGTATGACATA